CACTAAAAAGGTCATAACTGGAGTTATAGACCTCCTTTTTAGGTGATTCTAGCTCTATTGGAAAGCTAACATCCAAGGCTATAACTTTCATGCAGACCCTAAGACCAAATTCTATAATCTAACCCCACCTATACAACGCTCAATTCAGCGTTCCAGCTTTGACTTTCTACCAATTTTGTTTTCTCCCAGGGCTGTAGTGCCCAACTTGGAGCTGCAGCTCCAAGTCTCTGCCAGATCAAATCCTCCTAGGGCTGCAGCGCCCAAACTGGAGTTGCAGTGATGGATCTCAGCCACCTTGTTTTCTCTCATAGTTCATCGCTCCAACGCTGAGTGCAGAGTTTTATGCACTTTCATGGCTTCCTACCTTTGTTTTTCACCTATTGTCCATCAATCTTACCCCTAAGCATGATCTACCTTCATAATATCTACTCATTTTGTTCATACAACCCAGAAACCCCAAGAAATACCACATGCATGCATTAAGATTTCAAGAGATCATCAAGAACAACAACAAAGGTTTCGGCTTTCACATGCAACCAACTACATATCTACCCCCAAAGCTCAAATTTTCAGAACCCAACAAATTATAAGTTTCAATTCAATCAAAAACACAAGATTCTAGCTCTCCTTACCTTAATTGAAGCTCTGAGCAAGACAAAATAGCTTCCGAGCTACCACGGATGGAAGGAGAAGAAAATGGGGATGAGATTCTGACTTCGAAGCATCCCTTTCTACCTAATGCTCAACACCTTTTGAGAATCCAAAATGTAAGACTGTATAAGAAATAAAAGGAATTAGAATGAGGAAAGGAGATAAAGAAGTCGTGGGTCTCACATAAAACGAATGAAAAATATAATTTTTTTTTATAAGGACCAAAATCAAATATCTCCCATTTTAATGGAACTAAAACATATTTAATCCAATTTTTTTATTAATAGTATATTTTTAGCTCATTACTAAGGCATATTCTCTCATCGAACACAAGGATTAATCTTTTTAAGGAGTTTAATAGACATTGAGTAAGCGGACATTCATTCGCATTTAAGTATTTTGCGCTAGTATTTTAGTCTATCTAATGCACAAACATGTTTATTATATATAATATAATTAAAATTTATAATGAATGATATATGAATATATATATATATATATATATATACACTATTTTTGAATATATATTCATTTATTTAAAATAAATAATGTTGAATTAGAATAATTAGAAAGTATACGAGGAATATTTTATTAATATAGATAAAATGGGAAGAGATAATTAGAAGTTTTTGGGCTAGGCTCTAAACCCAACTCCTAGACTGATTTAAAAAGGAGAATAGAGAAGGGGTTAGGTCATTATACACATTCTAAAAACCTTAAAACAATCGTAGGATAAAACTTAGAGGAGACCATTAAGGAAGGCACGAATTAGCAGTAAGAGCTGTCAGAGAAGTATCGTTCTAGGAGAATTGTCACTCAGGTAGGGGCTAAGATTATTGATTTTTGGGGCATATATAAGGGATAAGAGTAGAGGAAAAAAACCTAAGTCCCATAGGTTGTATGTCAAGTCGTATTGTGTTTATGAATGCAATTGTGATTTTGTTGGTAAAATGTTAAGTCCCATAGGTTATATGTTAAGTCATATTATATGTTTATGAATACAATTGTGATTTTGTTGATAAAATGTTTATGAAATTAGTATGATATTTTGTTCCATTTTTTTTGAATGCTTAGTGTGTATATCTTTGAAGGTTAAGGTTGTTTATACATGAATTTAGGAATTTGAGTTGGATTGGATGAATGTTGATGAATTGATGATATAATAATTTTTATTGAATGTGGTTCGATTCATTGACTGAATAGATTATATGTATAAGTACTTGTTATATTGGTGTGGAATTTGGATGAGATGAAATGCGCCATTCGTGAGTCTACGAAGTGTATATTCTACAACCATGTCGGGCGTGAAGATGGTCATGCTGAGTGTGAGAGGTCCCAGACCTCTTGGTGCTAGACGTAGGTGTTGCGTTTGACATTATTTGACGTCAATTTTTACAAGCTTATGACGTTGAGCCTAGATTAGACCACACTGAACGAGACTAACATAGAGAGGTCTTAAACCTTGCCACGTCAAGCTTAGGTGATCCCACACCGAGCGTGAGTTTGGTACAGAGGCCTTGATCTCTCTGTGTCGAGCGTGATTAAAATCTTGCCGAGTGCCACACCATTTTTCCTTTAAAATGCTTTACTTGATTGATTAACTAAAAAAACAAAGTACTGTGAAAGGGATTAAGATTAAATACTACTAGGGGGAATTAATGAATAATGATGTATAAAATTGATGTAATTTGCTATGCTATACCCATGGTGATGTATAAAGAATTATGTTAAGATGGTATTGAGTGATTGATGATGAGATATGATGAATAAGTTCAATGTTGCAAAATGGCACTCAAGGAGTTGAGCATGCATATTGTGTTTTATTGACTGTATTGAGTCCATGCATTCATATTTTATTTTATGAGATAGTGTGAGTCTATGCATGTCAGATATCATAGGTCATCTACCTATGTCTTAAAGGTCTTATATCGGAAAAACCTCTAATAGAAATGGGAGACTACCATGACTAGTTATAACACTTCGACAAGACCTTAATAGATAACTCCTAGTTGAGATGGTTCAAGGGATCATTATTGAAGGGTGGCCCCTACACTGTTTGATTGGGTGGTCTCATTCCATTACTCGTAGACTATTCTATATTCTCGATGATGAGGAGGAAATTGGTACCACATGTATAGAGTTAGGAGCATGTATTACATGAGTATAAAATCATGACTATTATATTTTGTGATTGAATGACAATGAATGATGGATGGAGAATATCAATTGTTATTAAAATTATTTTAAGATTGATTGAAGGCTTGTGAAATATAATTGACATTATATTGTGTATGTCTACCTTTATGTCTTATATATGTTATTTATGGATGATATATATTCTCACTCCTTATGTTTGTTTGTTTGGGTTGAACGTCACTTGTAGGATTAGAATAGATGCATGAAGATGTGTTTGATGAGGGAGATGCATAGATATGGGTTTTTCTATGATAGTGTGACATCAAGATAAAGTTTTAATATTAGTAGATATGACAATTGTCAAGTTCTTTTTTCATTACATTATCTTGTTGAATCTTTTTTAATAAATTAGGTAGATGTGCCTTCATTTATCTCAAATAATATTTTATATGTTTCTTTGTTAACAAAGTGATTGGTAAAACTTTGTGAACCTTTTTATTATGTTTAGATGAGAAAAGTTTTATTATTAATTTATTTTATTTTCTAGGATTTTTAAGTATATATTTATTTAAAAATTTGGGATAAAAGGGTGTCACATATTTATTATATTTAAAATTAGTATACATAATATTTTAAAACATAAATTATATTTTAAATTTATGATAAATAATTTGTATTATAATTATAACACCCAAGTTTTTTAAAACTATTAAAAGGATATTTTAATTAAAAAAATAGGTTTTATAATCATATTAAAGATTTTTTTTAAATGATTATATGATTATTTTTGTTAATTAAAGAAAGACGTGTGAAATCCTTTGTTATTATTTATCTTGTGAAATCATTTGTTATTATTAGATATAATTATATTTTATTTAACATATTTTGATAAGATATTATGATCGACTATTTTAGAGGTTTTATAGATAAGAATGTTTTAAGATAAGAAAAATAAAGATTTCAAAGTTATATTATTCGAAGAAATGAAATCTATTTCTACTATCTGGATTACACTGATTGTAGTCCGATCTTTTTTTTAGACTAAGACCCTAAAATGAAAATCTTTTTCATTTTTTTTATTAAATCATTGATTATATTGATAAAAATTAGGGAGTCATATTAATATTAAGAAGTAATATTTAATCGAAATTAGTCACTTTTACTTACCATTTTTATGTAAATTATAAGTAAAAAAGCAGTAGGAACTAGAATAAACAGTGCAGTAGCAATAAATGCGAGAATATTTACTTCCATAATCTCTATATATGTTTTATTTCTCTTCGATTTCCAATAATAAAAATTAGGGATTTAATCCCATAGAATATAGATGATAAATCTTTCATCGATAAATTCAACAATGGTATAAATTTGATTTCGATGATATGATATTAAATCGCATCAATATCACGAATAACAATATCTGAGCTATCAAATCGACTCATCGTCGAGAATTAAATAGTATACCATAGGAAGATCTTTTATCCATACTAAATAAAACCAAAAAAACATTTCTTTCGCAATTAAAATTTTCCTTTTCTTTTTTTTTTTGTCGAAACCTTTACCTTACCTGAAAAAAGAAAAAAAGCAGAAGATATCCCTATTAGGAATAAGATTTTGTTTATTCTTTTGATTCCCTTTCACACAAAAAATGTATGGATGTCTTTTTGATTGGATTTGTATCCATCGGGACTGACGGGGCTCGAACCCGCAGCTTCCGCCTTGACAGGGCGGTGCTCTGACCAATTGAACTACAATCCCAGGGAAAAGGGTGTATAGCATACACATTTTTACGGTATCTTTCAAACCTTTTTTTCTATTTAGGATTCGAACCATTTTGCTGTAAATGAAAGAGGAGGATTTTTGTATATCTATCTATATATAGATAGATATATATCGATATCCACTTTAGTGAGATCAACACAGATTACGTTTGTTATTGACAAATCTATTTTGAAAATTTAATCAATAAAAAAAGTCACTTTAGTGAGATCAACATAGATTACGTGTGTTATTGACAAATCTATTTTAAAAATTTAATCAATAAAAAAAGTTTTTATTTTCCTTAAATTTTCGATTTACAGATCTTGATATGAATCTAGATTATTAGAAATATTCAAATTTGTGGAAATATGAAATAAAGAAAAAAAAGAATAGCATTTAGGGATGTTTCAGATTTTGATTCTTTCGTATCAAAGCGCATCAATCATTTCCGGAGAATAATAAATGGGTTATATAATTTCATTGTGGATCGGCAAATTCTTGGGCCGAGCTGGATTTGAACCAGCGTAGACATATTGCCAACGAATTTACAGTCCGTCCCCATTAACCGCTCGGGCATCGACCCAGGAACAGGAAGAATACATTTCCGTTTTTATTGAAAATTCATGATCAACTTCCTTTCGTAACACCCTACCCCCAGGGGAAGTCGAATCCCCGCTGCCTCCTTGAAAGAGAGATGTCCTGAACCACTAGACGATGGGGGCATACTTGCCCGACCGCCATTATACTACGTTCATAATATGAACAGTTTTTTGAAATTGTCAATATAATAATATGATTCGATCAAAAAATTTTTTTTCCATCTTTCAGAATTCCATAGAAATTTTGGATTCATCATTTAGATTTCAAATTTGTTTATTTTTATTTCAATCGTTAATAATAATAAAATGAAAAAAAATATAAGTAATGCAAAAGAAAGTCAAATAAACAAAAAATCCTTTGCAAGAATGATTGCTTTGTTGGAAAGTCAAATATCTTATGTATTTAAAGGAAAAATAAATATTTCAAAGTTATTTATTTGAAAAGGTATTTTGAATTAATTAATTGGGCTAGTATTATATTCTAAGTGATATTCTGAAATAATAGTAGTTATTATTTACTTATTTTTAAAATAGTGAGAAATAATTAATTAGGCTTTTGTCGATGGGTCACATGTGTGTTAGGGTTAGCATCTTTATAAATGCAATAGTAGAGCTTAAGTTGCCTCACTTCACATTATCATTAATACATGTGTCTCGTGCTCTAAAGAGGAGGGAGAACCAAAGGTGGTCAAAGACGACCTTGAAGATTCATGTAACACCCCAATTTTCAAAAAGGTTATTATTATTAAACCTTTTCTTTTTCCAATATTTTGAGTAAAACATTAGTGGCGACTCCTACGAACTATTTTTCAAAACCATTAATTAAGGATTAGTCTGGTTTTCGGGCATTCCCTCATTGATGAGATTTTTCAAAAGGTAGTCCAAATCATTAGTCGTAAGATCAAAATTTTTCGGGTTACGACAATATGATATTTGATCAGAATTATTTTTATAATTATAGAGGAATATTATTTTGTACGTTTTAAATAATTATTGTTTTGGATAATTATTTTATACATATTAAATAAGTACTTTTATTAGCATTTTAAATAATTATTTATATGTTTTAAGGGATAATTTGAGAGTTGATAAATTATATATTTTATTACAAAATCTAAAAGGTTGATTTTATATGATATTTTAATATTAAAATTATATTATTTTTTTTTTCAGAAATATATTATTATTATTATTATTATAGAGGAAAAATATTTTATATAGTATATGTATTTATTTTATTTAATTATTTTG